TTTTTTTATTTTAAATAATTATCATTGCATGTTTTCTCAGTCATAAAATGCAGCTTTTTAGCACAACCCGTCCCATAATAAACATTAATTAAACATGAAAAATAAAAGGAAATGTGAGTTTCAGAAAACAATATGGTGCTCTGAGTGCTTTTTTTTTTAGTATGTTAACTTCCTCCCCTTAATTCTTGTGTCTTTTCCAACATCATTATTTTAGAAGCACATACACTGTTAAAATAACTGAAACAGGGTTCAGTGACCAAGCAAAAGATCTTTCACTCTCTACACTTTCCGTGTATAAACGAACATTCAGAAGATTAAGAAAATGACATAGCCTACTGCATGCTCAGATGCAAATGTCTCTTCAGGTGGAGGCGGTTTATTCGAGCCCCTGCATTACCCTTTTCTGACACACTGGGCCTGGTAACGTAGCGTGTGATTAGCTGGAATGGTGGAATTGGATTGAATTTCAATTACTGCATGTCTAGTCACGTCTGAGAGAGTCACACCTGGGTGAGGAGAGCGGCCACACGTTCACAGTCACACGAGGGCCACGGTTCTGATACACTGGAGAAAGAACAAACGCACAGGTTTGCGACGCCACTTTGATTTCCATTGTTGAACAGGTGAAAGAATTTTCCACACGAAGAAGAGCACAAATTTGTGAAAGGAAATGTGCATGTGTCAACAGTGCTGGAGCAACTAGCTAAACATAACAGCGCTATTAGCTTAGCTATTACTAGGCTAACTATATTACTTTGAAAAATTGTTTATATCCCAAAATAATCCCTTAACCATGGTAAAATCATAGTAACACTGCCTCTCATGGCTTATTTCTTTATTATTCGGAGTGCCCCCTTAATATATTATATGTAAAAAGCTAATGCAGTTAGCTACTTCATGTCAGTAACTTGCTATAAGCTAAACTATGAGTTACTGATATACTGACTGTTGACAACAACTTTAAATTCTGAAATAATTTGATGTAGCTTCCCAACACTGTGTATATGTGCAAAGCGATTTATGTTGGATTATTCATGTGTGTGCACATGAATGTCTCGTGAATGTCTGTGGCTATTATTATATTAGCTTTATGACCCAAGCAATACATGGACACACGTAAACACCTGGTGTGTAGATGCTTTTGTATGCCGTCTCCCACTGCGATGCTCCACGTGGTGCTGTCTGGCTATGACACCTACTGTAACACTATAACATACACACAGATTATCAGCCAATCAACACATTTCCCAAGTGGGCTCTTCTAATCATCGGCAGACCACTTAAGGACCCACAGCTATCAAATACGCTGGTATGAAGTGTTAGTTAAAACAGTGTCTTGAGTGCAGAGGATGAGAGATTGTAGGTGTTTATGGAGTGATTCTGATTGGGACGAATCCCTTCTCTTGACATCTGGTCATCAGAAACTACAGAGGAAGATCCTTTGGGTTTTACACACACAAACCCACATTTACAAACCAGATTCTCTTCTGGAAAGGATTAATAATTTAATTATTTGCAGTTGTCACAAAGCATGACATGCTATTTACATAAAACAGGTAATATTACACAATGAAAAGCTGAAACGAACTTTTCCAGCTTGATTTTTTTTTTTTCCGTAAGCACCTGATTTGACTTGCGATTTGTTGTTCCCTGGTGGACAACAAATCAGGTGAAAATCTCACATAGGCTCACATAAAACCTGAGCCATATCTAAGGACCGGATCAGAAAAAAATCACACCCAAAACACCCTAGTAATCCATCAGAACACCCTAGCAACCTCATAACAGCACCCTAAAAGTTCTATACAGAACAACCTACAACACCCTACCAACAACATGGGAACACCATAGCAATGCTGTAACAACTACCCATAAATCCCCATCAATGACCTAGCAACACCCTAACAACAGCTCAGACCACCCTAGCAACCCCATAGCAACACTGTAGAAATGTCCTAGCAACCACTCACAACACCCTAGAAACTACGTAGGATCACCCTAGAAATTCTGTAACAACCACCTAGCAAGGCCCTAGCAACAAAATAGCAATACCCTAGCAATTCTGTAGCTACCACCCAGAAAACTCTATCAACCACCTAGCAACACCTAGCAATGCCACCCACTCAGAACTAGGGTTGCAAAGGGGCAGAACATTTCTGGTAAATTTCTGGAAACTTTCCAGACTTTTTTGGAAAATTTCAGAAAGTTCCCGGAAATTGACTTGTCATTTTCTGTCCCTTTGCAACCCTACTCAGAACTCTCTAGCAATTCTGTAGCTACCACTCAGAAAACTCTATCAACCAGTTAGCAACGCCCAAGCAATCACTCAGAAACCCTAGAAATACTGTAGCAACCAACCAGAAAACCAATCACCTTGCAAGGCCATCAGAAAACCCCATCAACCACCTAGCAACACCCTGCCAATGACATGGAAACACCATAGCAATTCTGTAGCTACCACCCAGAAAACGATATTAACCACCTAGCAACGCCCAAGCAACCACTCAGAACACCCTAGAAATTCTGTAGCAACCAACCAGAAAACCAATCACTTTGCAAGGCCCTAGCAACGCCCTAGCTACCACTCAGAACACCTAAACAACCACATAACATAACACAACATAAATTATGTTAGTAACAGACTCGCCCTGGCAACCACTGACATTTATTTTTTCAGCAAACGTAGTATGATGTGCAATGACAACATAGTTCTTGATGTCATTCCAGCATAGAATGCTATAAGGAATATCTAATATGATGCAATTTCTCCCCACAACCTCTATGTGTGCAATTACACCTTAATTTTTCCATCAATCTTTGAAAGAAATCAGCAATCAGCATAGAGATTTGATTTGGCAGTAATAGGTGACTCAGTATTGCAGTTAATACTATCGTAGAGAGAGAAAGCGAGCACATCAGGAGCATTTTCCTGAAGTTATTCTGATAGGCGCACAAACTCAGCAGAACTAGCGTGTGTGATACTAGCGTCCCGGCTAGCTTTGAGAGCCCTGTGGGTTGGCAGGCAGCGCTACGCAGGTTTAAGAGCGGCTTCAACGAGTATTTGTCGGCTTCCTCAGCACTTTTTTCCTCTTCAAATTGAGCAGGAAGAGATTCAAACAGTCAGCAATTCCATTCCAGACTCCATCCATGAACATGGAACTGTCACATCCTCACATCCCTCCAGCAAGCTTCACATAAACACGAGGAGCAGAGGCCATCGGAAGTCATATGGGTCTTGTTTTAGTCCGTGTTCTCAGTTAACTAATGTCTGTGAGTAATGCTGACATTGAGGAGTGAGAGAGCAAACTGAAAATAGCTTCTGGGTATAAAATAAGTCAGAGAAGCAAATTCATCTGACCTAAACAGAGCACTGCTACATTTGGTATGACCTCCCCAAAAAATATCCAATGGAATCAAACAAATGGATATCCAAATATCCAATATCCAAACAAATGGAATAAGAAATAGCTTATTTTTTATAAAAATATAAAAGTATTAAAGCACATTATATTTCAAGTCTTACACGAGTGTGCTTTCAATAGAGAAATAACTAATTCTATTTTTCTAAATAACTAATACTATTTTTGTAATACTATTATACACTAATATTTAAACTATTACAATTATAAAAATACAAATATTAGAAAAATATATAATATAATATAATATAATATAATATAATATAATATAATATAATATAATATAATATAATATAATATAATATAATATAATATAATATAATATAATATAATATAATATAATATAATATAATATAATATAATATAATATAATATAATATAATATAATATAATATAATATAATATAATATAAAAAAAAAGCCTACAAATAACAGTATCAACAACAACAAAATGCTTGGAAAATTTCAGTCTTGTTTTCATGAACTGATGTATTGATTGTGAGTAGGGTCAGACACGCTGCAGTACATCTGCAGTACACTTTGTCTCTTTCTATTCGCACAGTTCTCCATTAAAATCAGCTGCGCTAATAGCCTGTGAGAGGACTGAAAGTGTCCTTCCTCTTCTTCTCCCGTCCAGCATGAGGGATCCACAGAGCCGTACATCAACTGACGGCAGCTAATGGAAGTAATCCAAGTTGATTAGCAGACACCAAAGCCATCACTTCTTTTAACACCCCACTGCAAATGACACGGAGACTAAAAAGATGGTGTAGAGATGGAGTATTTTCTCAAAGAAAAAAAAAAGGGTGAAAAAAAATATATATCATTTTTATAATAAAGAAAATCATCAAAAAAAGTAAAAAAAAAAAAAAGCTAAATATTTTATTTTTTTAAAATTTATAATTATTTTCAAATTTAATTTTAATATATACTATTTACTGTTACTATTAATATATTTCTCCCCACACAAATACAACAAACCCATTTAAAAATCATTATAACACATGTACAAATAAATGTAAATTAATAAATATTAGAAAAAGAGAGAAAGACAGAGAGAGAAATGTAATAATCATAATACAATTCATAATAAATAAAACTATATACCTGTACATTCCTAAAATATATGTAGTTTTATTCATTTACATAATATTGTTTGTTTGTTGCTTAGTTGTAAGGCAAAATAGTGTTACAAATAACTTTAACCATGTAAAATCAAATGGAACATTACATTGGACAAAAAATAAAATAAAATAAAATAAAATAAAATAAAATAGAGATATAGGTGGACGGTTGGATTACAACAAATAAAAGGGAACAGGAAATACAATAGAAATACAGGAGGAAATACAGAGAAGTAGAAATACAGACAATAGAATACAGAGAATACAGGGAAGAAGCATGGAGAGAGATAGTTTGCCATGCATGAAGGTCAAGTTGGCAGGACGCTGTATGCAGACTCACTGATACACTGAATATTTTGCCTGCAAGTGTACATGTTAAATTCACTCCACCTGCTTTTCTATTGCTGACTCTTTCTTTTTGTGTCATCTTCTTATCTCTACCTCTATCGCTCTCTTAGAACGACTCCTGGGGAAAGCAGTACTCTTACGCCCTATTTAAGGCCATGAGTCACATGTTGTGTATCGGGTACGGAGCCAGAGCGCCCGTCAGCATGTCGGACCTTTGGATCACCATGCTAAGTATGATTGTGGGCGCCACCTGTTACGCCATGTTCGTGGGTCACGCCACAGCCCTCATCCAGTCTCTGGACTCATCTCGACGGCAGTACCAGGAGAAGGTAAGCGCAGCCTCATTGGGTTCATTCACCTGGCTGCTTTGTTTGCAGGTATTCACATGTTATTTTGATATTTACACCACCATGCCTTCGCTGGACGTGCATGTGATGGTACAACATCTTGACAGCGTAGTAATCTGTGTCATCATCATGTATCACATTATGAGCTCATTGCTCATCAATCATTCAAGAATGACATCAATATTGATCTAATATCAAAGAAATTCTACCTCTGCTACATGGGTTGCATGCTTCAGACAACATGTACAGGTTGATCTACATCTACAGGGCTAAAGTTATTGGATATGTTTGGATGAGCGGTATGACCAAAATGAGCCATTTTGTATCATCGCAACTGTATATTACAAAAAGATAATAATAATTGATATAATAATAATAATTGGAAATGATATTTCAAAATTTATTTTATTGATAATTATTAATAATTATTTATATTTTTGAATAACCAAGAATATGAATTACTATTAATATTGTCTTTGTTATAAAAAAACTATAAATACCATTATTTGAAAAATTATGAAAATCTTCTTTTGTATTATTATTGTTATTGCTGTTATTATTCTCGAATAATCAAGAAAATTGATTCTTATTAATTAGAAATAAATATTCGGTATTATTCCAAAATATTATGATTAAGTTGTATTATTATTATTATTATTATTATTATTATTATTGAATAATCAACGAAAACTGATTATTATTAGTAATTAATATTCTTTACATTCTTTACAAAATTGGTTTATTATTATTATTATTATTATTATTAAATAATCAACGAAAACTGATTATTATTAGTAATTAATATTCTTTACTATCCAAAAAAAATTGGTTTATTATTATTATTATTATTATTATTATTAACAACAACATTAATAATAATAATAATAATAATAATAATATAAACAAGGGAAATTAAATATTATTAATTAGTTATTATTATTATTATTATTATTATTATTAAGAACTGGGAGGAATGGTTGTAGTAGTAATAATAATAATAATAATACAAATTATTAAATAAATTTTAATTTGTAATTTATATTCTTTATTATTATTATTATTATTATTATTATTATTATTTTAATCACTTTTAATCAAATAAAAGTTTTTACAAAATCTAGTTTTTAAAGTCACTTCACATTTGTAGTTTCTCCCACACATTCTGCTCTATTTTTTCTCATATTATATTGTCACTCTCACTTGTAAACAGCATACAGCAATAGCAGCAGAGACACATCTACCGCGTGTGTAATTCTCACCTGCACAGGTTTCTGAACCAATGCTATCACTGCTTGACACATTCCTGCAGTTCTCTGACCTCAGCTGTATAGTTCATTACTAAGCTCAATCGAGGATTGTGATACTTAAGTCATCAACTCAGAGATGCCACTGTATATCGATTTCACTTCCTCTAAACAGCATGCCACTTCCTCCCTGAGAAACCATGAGAGGACGGATTGGCAGATTATCCCTCATTCTAGCGTCTTGTCTTTGAGTGCTTGTTGTACCGTTAGTGGATCATTATATCCCTGTGCTTTCAAAGAGGATTTATTCCAAGTGAACGACAAAAACTCTCTCTCCGGGCCAAAGCATGCGCAAGGGGAGCCAGAGCTGCTTTGTCCCATGAGAGAAGGGGGGCTTATCTCATCTGGGCTTTGTTTGGGTAGCAAACCCGACCTCAGTGAGCTGGGTTAACATCACAACACGCACACAACATCATGCCAACATGAGCCATCAGGTTCTCCGTTTAATGCAATTACAGTGGATGAGTGGAAAGACGAGATTGAAACAGAGAGAATGGGATTGTGCTCCAGGGAGCTGGCACAGACTAAATGAAAAAGAAAACATACACAACACTGTCAGAGAAAGATTGTAGCTTTTAGTAAGCTTATCACGGTGCAGTATCCTCAAAAACTGAATATTTGCACCATATCTACAATGAATTTGTACCTTTTAAAAGGTACTGACCCAGTAAAAAGATGTTGTACCTCTTTTTCTGACCGTGTACCACCAGTGAAAAGTTTGAATACACACGTAGTAAAGAAATATCACAAATTTGACTTTTTTAATATCTTGACTTTTTTCTCAAGAGGTTAAATAGAGAGAAAATGGAGACTTTTTCTTAGGTTTCTCAGATGTTCCTTTAGAAAAAGAGCCCAGTCTTACTTCTAGAGGTGTTGAAGAGATCTCAACAATGTCTCAAAGACAAGTTCTGAAATCAAGAGTTAGTGAACAAATGAAGACTTTTGCTGAAGTTTCTCCAATGTTTCCTGAAAAATTCCCCTGTAGCTTCACTTAAATCTCTTCAAGAGATTTTAAGAGATCTCAAACTAAACTCAGATTTGACAAATCTGCAAAAGTCTGCAATCAAAATAAACACATTTCTCATTAAATTCTTCCAAGACCAAGATTTGAGCTACCTATACTATCCACATACATATTATTCAAAAGTTTGGGTTAGTTTTTTAATTTAATTTAATTTAATTTAATTTA